GGCCCGAGGTGGGCTTAATAGCCGGCGACTACTGTACTACGCCATGTTCTTCGGTTGAAGCCATCATGCAATAGGCGCGGAAACTTCCTGGCTCTCCTATACCATCCTGGAGGTCTTTCCAAGTTTAATGTACCCAGCTATATTTTGACTTGAACTAAGAGATACTTAGTAAAGTATATGGATATCTTGTGGTATTTTTCTAATTGATCGGACCATTCAGCACGACGAGAGTTCGATCGTCGCAAGCGACTACGTCGACCGCTTGAATTTGTGATCGTAAAACTGAATCCACACCGCAGTTGGACGCAGGCACCTTGACTGAATAAATAAAGAGCCCATCTAGACGTGCTTCATACAAGGCCTGGTTCATAATTTGTCTACTAGACGAAGTGCATGCTCATAATCATTGCGTGGTCACTGTTTGATAAAAATGCAATGTGATGCCCAACTCAAAGGAATATTCATAAATATCTACTTATATCCTAAAAGTAGAAGTGTTTGACTTCGTTTCCGTTCATTTCGGTTGCCTGGTTAGGCTGCTGCCGACTGAGCCACTATCTTCTCCCTTCCGAAACTTCTGACACGAAATTAACGCTACTGCCTTGGTTTCTTCTACGGAATTGCCTAAGGGGGCATCACGCGCTGGCTATAACTTTGTAACACGCCTTTCCTTAGTCGGTTAGTAAGTTTTCCAGTCATTGGTGCTTTGGCGGTATAGCCTTGGTAGTTTGTCGTTGCTAAGCCATATTTTTAAATTTTCCGACTGACCTTCAAATTCAAAATGTATTAACTTTTTTCCAAAATATAAACTTGTTTAACGTCAACTTTTCGCGCGTACTCCTTTCCAGCATCTAACTTAACCCGTAAAAAACTATCGCCAGCGGTCCCCTACTACATTCAGACCTGTTCTATGTTTCCTGAGTTATGTGGTATATTGTGTTTTTACCTAATATCTTCCCTTTCTTACCAATGCCGTCTAGTGAGATGAACATGTCACCTTATATTTCTAACTAACCAATAACTGCAGTCTTTCTTCGTAATCCATCATCACTAGCAAATTGAAGGGAAAACTCACAGAAGTACATTCGGCTTTATTTTCTTCCAGCCAGTCAAATCTCCGTGTATATTCAGTAAAATGTGACAGCTTCAATGTCCTATGCCGCCGAAACGGTCAAGTAAACGATAATATGTGACGTCAGGTATGTCCTACTGGGACCTACTTCCAAGAACGAGACATGCTGTGTTGATGAGAATACTTTAGAAAGCCTGTTGGCGAGACCAGATACTAATTGCTTTCACTGATTTCCTGCTAATTTATCCTCCGAGTATTAGCCTTCATATATGCATTCTTCTTCTCTGCATTCGTTTTAGACCATTAATACAGCAATCTGTCGGGGAGCCGTGGAGAAGTGGCTTCTCCAGGTACAAGACGTCATGCTGCTTTCCGTTCACGACGTTATTGCGGCATCTCGAGAGGTAAGAGTTCCACAGTCATTCCCCTGTCTTAAAACTGATGTTCCATGCGACTCTCTTGTAGTATCGTTAAAAAGGCCCCGTTTTACCATTGACTGCACTCTCCTCCGATTCCAAACAACTGATTCAGCACTCATGCAGAGGGGTCTGTGAGAACTGACCGACAAGACTAGGTATCCGCGGGGTGGTTTATCGGTCGAAATAAACTGACCTACTTGGACGGGAATTCTCAGACTAAATAAAGGTCCCAGTTAAGGTCTGAATCCCGAAAGTTACTCCCTGTGTGCCTACGCGCAGGTAACTCTGACCGATGAAGGGTAATGACCCAGAAATACGCGTATCTCA